CCAGTTAGCGACAAGTTTCGGATCGATATCGCACTTGTTGACGTAAAAATATTTCATATCATACGTCAATAAACCCGATACCGATTCGAAAATTGGCGCAAATTGGTTACATAATGTGTCGCTAACTGGTTACAGAATCTGCCTACAAAAATGATATCGTCCGATTCAGCTGGAACAAAAATGCTTCAAACAAGTAAGAGTTTCCCTGTATTATGGCCTCGAACCGACAAATACATCTTCTATTTGAATCAGTATTAAAAGCTCTATTGGCTCCTACATTCGGGTTTTGATAGGCAAGTCTCCCCTGAACCGTTTTTCAACATTTTTGGCCTATGTGGGCTTTTATTCGAAACCTAAATGTTTCGGTACCGAGTATCGACAGTATTGGATACTTAAAAGTATTGACTCCGCACATCATTACTGCTGTCATCTCAACTGTGACGTCAGCAAAACAGCTGATTCTGTCAAATTCCCTGAGAGCCGATTAGCGGTATTGCCATCGGCGCCACCTTCTATATTCTCTCCACCGTGAGTGTTTAGGGCGTCGGGTAGCATTTATGTTGAAAATAGAAATGGGTTCCTGACCGATAATGCGGAAATGCTTCTTTTCATAATGGAAAATATCAAAATTTTTAACTCTAATTACTAATTAGATACTAATAAATTTGATTTAATAATTAAAAAAAATGCTGAACTAGATTTTTAAATATAATCTTCTATAATCGAAATCCGGAAATGCGGAAGGATTTGAGCAAGGCCGAAGCTGTGGTCCGTAGCTCGTCGTTTTCAATGTGTTCAGAACTTAAGCCGGATTCCGGATATCTACCTGATACCCAGCACATCCCAAATAAATAAATACTCTTGGGGAATGTGCCTCGGCATGGACAACGTGGTGGAATATAAGTGAACAATCAGCATAGGGCTCAGACCAGGTATTCCTCGGTCTACAACAACTTTTAGCACTCCCACCTTCAAAGCCACCATCAGGAACTAGGGGAGAGATGAGTGGTAGGCTTCAAAAGGACGAAATTAGGCGAAACTCATGTTGTCCTCAACTTCGGAGGGTCGTGCAAGGTATTCGCTTTCATTGAATAGGTTGGACTGCAGGCTATTTGTGGGACTGTGAACTGACAACTTTACGTGGCACAAACACCTGATGGTTTGCGCTTACATCTCAAGTTTAGCAAATACGCGAACCATTCTTTTCTGACTTGCACTTGCACTTCCGTCAGTTTTCGTTATGTTTATTTAGCTTCCGCACTTTTAATAACAGTTGTTTAAAGAATAATAGCTGAAAAGCTGCGAAGCAGATTTGTCTTTGCACAATGTCCATACTAAGTTAATTTAGTATTGTAGTTCACAAATTGGAAAGTATTTTTTATTATTATTAAATTAAATTCTTACAGCCTTAAGCAATCGTTTTTGTTTAATTAGCCACCAACCACCACGCAACCATCACTGCCGACGTACTTCATGTCCGTCATATTGTATTTCGTGACCCAGCGCCGTAGTTTCAACATCGTACGACGTATCATCTGCTTCCGCACTAGGCGGATTGTGAATGGTGCTTTCATGTAGGCCGATGGTGGCATGAGCAGCTGCTTTCGATGCATTCACCTGTGCCTCGGCGGCAGAAGAAGCCGCTTTATATGTGGCCTCCTTCGTAGCTTCGTAATCCACACGCGCCTGCTTCAGTTGTTCCTCCACCTGTTCGACACGACTTCTGGCCTGCCCAACCATGGTCGATTGTGAAGCCAACTGATTGGCCACCTCACTTGAAGCTTGCTCAGCTTGTTCGGCCACCGACTTTGCATTATTCACGGCCGCTGTTAGCACAGAAACATGATGATTGGCAGCCTGTGCGGTCTGTTGAGCCAACTGCGAGGCAATCTTAGCTGACTTCAATTGCTCCAGCTCACGCGAAAGTGAACGTTGCGCTTCCGCTGCCTGTTGTTCCAACTCCTGTAAAAGGACCTGCTTGCCCGCCAATGCTGCCTGCGCTGTGGCGGCCGCTTGTGAGGCTGCCTGTGCCAAAGTGTTTTTCGCTATGAAGGCTGCCTGTTTGGCGGCGGCGTGTTGATTGGCAACCGCAGTGTAAGCCTGATTGGCAGAACCTTGCGCTATGGAACGCAAGCCGCTGCCGATGCTGTAACCTGACTTGGTGCCGCCAACACCACTGCCGCCGCTGCTACCGCCACCGCCACCGCCGCCGCCTCCTACATGCGAGTGTACACTGGGGGACGATGGCTTATATTCATAATAAGAGCTACTCGGCACCTCATGGGATGATGGACCAGAAGGCAACTCATGCGCGTGAACGGAATTGCTAACCTCATAGTAGCTATGATGCGAAGGTCCATGTGGAGGTCCCACTGGCGTTTTGTAATGATAACCGCTGCGTTTATTCAGGCGACCAAATGTTGTGGAACAACAAAGTGCTGTAAGGAAGAAAAGAGATTTTTAGCTATAAAAATTTAACAAATTTATTTCTGCAAATTTTATTTCTATACATACCCAATAGCAGTAGCGTTGCCGCTGGTATATTGGTCAAGTTGCACTTGATCATGCTTGTTGCAAATTCGATAATGAACATTTGAATATCCTGCACATTGGTTTTATATGTACACAGAAAGTTGCAAGCAAATCGCTTAAGCCCAAAAATGCAAACACACCTATGTACGTATGTAGGCACGTGTATACGTACGTAGATATGCACACTTGAAACTTCCCATAACTAATTTCTTATGGCGGGCCACATAAAACGGTGGTTGCGCGCTCAACCGCACGTTACGGCCACAAACTGCCGCGCGGCGGTATGATCGCAATTTTGTCTAACTACTTTGGCTACTTAATTTGTTACTAAGTTAATTTAGTATTGTAGTTGGCCACTTGGCAGTTGTAGTATGCGGCACTGGCCGTGCATGCTCATTACTTTTAAGTCTTCGTTCTTTTTATATATTTTTCTATTTTTTTTTATTACAACACTGGCTTTGGCTATTTAAGACCACACATTATGATATCATAAAGTAGTTTATATGAGGAAGTGAAATTTCCAAGTGGTGGTTATCACGCTTGCTGCAGTTTAGGTATTATAATAAGTACATACATACGTATGTATGTGTGTACATAGGCAGTTAAAGAGAGTAAAAGAAATTTAATGAGCTATGGGCAGTTCACAAAATCGTAATACAAACACTTTCGAGAAAGGCAATAAAACCGATTGGTAAGGCTATAACTTATTTTTATCAACAGCAATAAAAATCATGCAAAGTTGCAGTCATCTGTCTTGGAGTAGGGTGCATTTATCGAAGAGACTGTTACGTACAAATAAATATGTATTAGCTTAGTCTAAGATATTTTCAAAAATTAAAGAAACCATGCAGCAAACGTTCGTTCACTCCACACTGCTTGAAGAAAATATGTTTGTACTAGATTGCACTCACCCGCTTCGCTGAGTGAATTAAATTTCTGCGTGTTACATTAGGTGTAATTTATTAAAGAAAAAATCTCAACATACTTAAATTCAGCCAAACACATAGGAGATTTTCAAATTTAAATTCAAGCCCAATTTGAGCTTTTAAACATGTGGCAACCCTACTACATGTAGTTTAGTACTGACGCCTTTTCAAAA